GGCAATGCCAAAAACAAGAAATAGTATCACATTACAAAACTATCGACAAACCTAAAATTGCACTATTGACAAACCAAAAGACACAGACCTACATGTATGTATACGAATAGATGCTGGGACAAATCAAACAACACATTCTACAAAAACGAATGGCAGGGTGGTGAAAGGGTGTAAACGTACAGTATGTATGAGAGACCAGAGTCAAAAGTACTTGGGCTGAGGATAATCTCAACGATGATAAGTTAGAGAAAGGACAGGACGGGGACTAAGGAAGGTGGGGGTGGACAGACAAATACAGTACGGGCGACTTTTTGTTTGATAGGGTTTCGCCATGCTATATCGCTGACGCTTGTTTTTCGACCGTATTGATACTTCTTCGTCCACCGTTGGCATTGTCTTGGGAAACGGTATCTATAGAAGCGGAACGACCATATCGCTCCTCAAGCACAAGATTTTCATCTACTGGAGGTTTACGACCGGCGACCCTAAGCCTGCAGAAAATACATTAATTAATTGCACAGAAAAAACGGCGCAAATCTGCAACTCACATCCAAGAAGGAATAAGACCACCAGGGGGCATTGTCCATTCTTCCGACGCATCATAGTTAGGAGGAACGATACGATCGTTCGATAATTTTCGGATTGCCCAAGGAATGAAGTTGATCGCGAGGTAAGAGAGAACGCCGGCAATGAGACCGTAGGCAATACTATTATTGTTTAAAAAGATCAGTCTCCATTATTACCAGAAATCAAAGGACAAAGTAAACGCACTTGTATGAGAAAGGAATGACAATGAGAGTAATGAATGCTGGTACGGCGTCGCCAATATAATCCCAGTTGATTTCACGGACACTGATAATTGCCAAGTGCTCATCAGAACGAGTAACGATAACCGATTCCGGAAAAGATACCTACTTTCGCATCATGAGCGAGCCAACAATGACTAAAGCACCTCCAGTTGCCCAGGCGGGGATCGACGAAAAGATTGGCGCGAAGAAGACAGAGATGAAGAACGCAATGCCAACAACGATAGCTGTAATGCCAGTCTTTCCACCCTCTGTAACGGATAATGAGTTTTTACTCGGTTTGAGACGGAGAAAAAGGTGTACCGCTGATACCGGTAGCGCTCTCAATGAAGGCAGTGACAGGGCTAGTACCCACTAGGGCTCCCATACTGATGCTGAATGCATCCACGCAATATGCCGCGGTTGAACCTTCGAAATCCAGGGTGACCGGGTCACGCAGACCTGCGAACTTGGCCATAGAGTAAATGGTACTGTAATTGGGTTAGAACAGCTTTCGGGAAACATTGTAAAAGCCATACCCAGTGGTATCTGTAACGCAAGAGTTAGCAATCCATCATGAAGAAGGAAGGCAGCAACTCACCAAGAATATCCACGTATAGCAAGGTAACGAGAGCATACCAAACCCGAGGGTTACTGTAGTTGTACTATAATAATTCAATCAGAAACATCGAACAAGAGGGCGGGATATAAGTCATACATCAAGGACGTTGCCAATTTTAGAGAGCGGCTGGAAAGTCACTACTTGCTTGAAATAATCGAAAAGAACGTCTCCATCTGCGCCGTGAGGGAAAAGTGTGACGGAAGTCGTCCTTGGCCAGGATATGACGGATACCAAGAAAATGCCGATTAGGATAGCGCCGCGGACTCGATAAAGCATGAGAAGGATAGTGAGAATTCTGTAGAACGAAGATAAGCGACTTGGATTTTTGTATTGCATGAGCGCTCTGACCCTCCAAGGAATATGCCCAGCCACATTGTTGGACTACGGAGCACGCCAGTTGCGCAGAAGTTTGGGAGGTTCGCTTCGAAGTTGTCAGGTGTGCAACCTCCTAGTCCTACGAGGTTGATGGTATCACCCCCGATAACGCCGAGACCAGACGGGGCTAAAGATAGTGAGTTTTCCTTACAGCCGAAAATTCACAACGAGACTCACACAGGCCAATGAAACTGGAAATGTTATTTTAACGAGCGTTCAAGAGAGAATACAATGCAAATTGACTTACGCGATAAAAAGACCAATACCTGCACCTACAGCCAGTACTAATGACTCGGGAATGATACGGACTAGCCATTGCCGGAGACCGAGGATAGAAAGAAAGAAGAAAATCCAGCTGAACAGGGGGGTGCCAGTCAGAATCGGAAAGTTGTGAGAAAAGTCAGGCAACAAACCCTTCCATGAAGACAGCCGCCAAAGCTTCTTGATATGTGATCATTCCAGTACCATGAAAACCCACGATAGAATATGTGAACTGGAAGGAGTTAGATAGGACACGGGAAGGTCTTGATAAACCCACATAGGCATTCAGACCCAGACCAGGAGCCATTCCTATGGGTAGATTTGCGAGGAGACCCATGAGGAACGAGCTCAGGGCGGCCATGGCGGCGGTAGAGGTAATGAGTTCGTTGCGGACTTCATTTACACAAGTCGCATAGAGGGCATCCGTCATGCAGGTAGGATCCGTAGTACTCGTGCAAACACAAGTACCTCCAGTATCCTTGATGATTTCAGCGTTCACTGAGATCTGTTGACTATTAAGTTACAACGCCCAGAAAGAAAAGAAAGATGGACGGACAATATAAGCCATAGCTGCCTGCCCACAGAAAATCATCCCTTCAGTCTAATTTGCTCCCTGGTTACCAAACCCAACTCACCCATGTTGTAAGCCCAGCGCGGATTTCCGTCTGCGTGCGGCAATAAGGACACAAAAATCTTGAGGACAAAGCCGATGAAAAAACTAACCATGAAACGAGACCCAAGACGCTCTTTTGGGTGCCCAGATCCTTCCAGCCTGAACCATCTTCCAACTGGAGAATACGCGACCTGATTTCACGAAGGGATAAGAATTTGACCAAGCGGAGAGAGAAATAAAATTACCTGGGCATTGAGGCGATCAACAAAGCTCACCATGTTGCAAACGAGAGGCCAAAAGGCAGGGAGATGGAGAAGAAGGTGGGAGTTGAAGCTTGAAAGCCAAACAGCGACATATTTTTATCCGAGTGTGCTTCCCATCAATTTCGGTACCCGTGTGGAGTGATAAGATAAGATATTATTTATTTCTGGCTCCGGTTTCCACGACCGCCGCGGGCTCCAAATTCGTTCACATAGCATTTGAGGCATTTGAGGAGAATTCTGAGTGTCAAACTATTCGAATTATTGTCCTGACTCCTGAGGGCTAAGTACTAAGTACAGGTTGCATAAGGCTGTACAGTGCCCGACCAGGCTCAGGCCAGTTTTTTTTAGCAACCATTTATTCATATGTCATAAGTGTTCACTTAGGTTGCGTAATGCTCTCGGCACTCGTTTTCGGCCATCACTGCCATTACCTGGCATACTAAATATACCATTTTCCTTGTCTTTTATAACAATGAGAAAGCCTTTGGCGTATAGTAGCGTGCGCACAGTGAAAGGTAGCAAAGAGATAGGTCTATAGGCACAGCTGCTTGCCCGGCTGCCGTGCTGGCATGTCATATTCGTACTATTAGCGCTCAGGCTGATAACCGGCACTACTTACAGCCGGATAAGTGCTGATAGGCTTTTTAGTACTTATCATACTTAGAGCAAGACTTAGAGAAGAATTTTAACCCTTTCCGATTATGATTGTCATTAGTCTTTCCTCTTCTAAGTCTGTAATATAATCTGGGTCAGAGTTGAGTAGCTGAGACACAATCTCATCTTCCGAGCAACTTCCGAGTTAGGCATTGTGCTTGAATGTGAATGAGGAACTGACTCCCGAGGAAATACACATCTTCCCTCTTTTGCTTACTTTTATTCTCACTGAGTTTGCATGCCTAAAAAATGTTTCCAGCATGTTGAGCATAGGGACTTCATGTGTCTGGATTTTCCATAACATCGAGTCTACTTAGTTCATGCTGTTGGTCAAATACATGGCTCAGTACCAACTCACTCAAGAACTCACTACGTGATAAGCTAGTTGTAAATTATACTCAGACTCTAAGTTTAAGCTATCTACTCAGTAACAATTCTGGGCTGATTGGTCCACTGTAGTAATGAGCCTCACGAGTCACGCCAACATCGACAGTGATCATCCAAATTTGGATCGATACTAAATACCTACAGACTCCGGTCAAGACTTTTCAATTTGACCATCAATGATTTAGCACCCCAGCTATCTTCTAGGCCTATCGGAGGAGTCTTTGCTACTTTTTACTGTGTACAAGCTACCCTACAGTCTCGAATGTGGTATATAGTATGCCAGGTCAATGGCAATGATGGCCGAAAATGAGTGCCGAGAGCATTACGCAACCTAAGTGAACACTTATGACAATGAATAAATGGTTACTAAAAAAAAACCGGCCTGAGCCTGGTCGGGCACCGTAGGCTGTCAACTGTAGGTAATCAGGGGAATTGTTCCTTGAAAACTCCAAGGCACCGACTATCGACGAACATGTACTGGCGCGAGATTGAGCTCAGTGTACCCTTCGACGCTGGGAATACATGTTTATAATTACAAGGACATCGTGGACTTTCCGTCTGCTGGAGTGGGACTCTGAGATGGTTGTAACGATCGCCAAAATGTCAGTAAGTAAAGATCAGCTGCTACTCGCATCAAACATATGAGTTACTGAGTAGAAAATGTGATTGTTAACAATATCATACACTTATATGTAGCGGGAAGCGAAAGAGAACGCATGCCGACGAGAAGAAACAGACGATCCCAGCGGCTACCGATGTCGGAATCAGAAAGAGCTATACATGTATTGATCTCAGTTATACAGTAGTAGTAATGAAATCCAAGTTTATACTCTTTGACTTGGATATGTGGCAGCGGTATCACCGTTTGTTCCGTCGCATGTGTACCCTAGATTTCAAGGTCTGTACCCCATAAGTAACAGAAATACAGTCGAACATCACGGCCGGACTATCATGATCACTGGTGATGGGGCCTTGAGGACTAGTAGTAGTAGCACAGAACTGAAGACAGTAACTTCATCAAAGGAAAAAGAAACTCCAGATTCCGATATGGGGAATCGAACCCCAGGCTATCGCGTCACGACCTTGAGAGGCGATAATGTTAACCACTACACCATATCGGAATGGTTATAGAGGTGGAATTGTTATACATATCCAACATATCCGACTTTTCCTACAAGTTCAGTGAAAAAGACCATAAGCGCATTCATTTGATCCACGCCAACCATCTCTGCGTTTCCAAATGTGCTTTACAGGCACCCTCCGGCTTTTCCCCACCTCCGGCCAGCGTCGCATTCTTCGACGTAGCGACTAACACCCGAATACAAGATGTTGGGCCTACGTATACTCGACATGAAGCTTGTTCCTGGTCACAGGTACCTCAACGTCAACCAGTTCCTTCTGCAAGTAGCATCGGCGTCGAGGTCGGCGGCGCCACCTTCATCCAAGCTTTAAGCGCATAGTATTGGCTGCATCTTTCCGAATCGACCATTCGCGGTTTGCCACCGCCCCATCTTAACATCTGTTTACTCTATCCCAAATTCCCAAGCCTCTTTTGAGTTCATCGAAGCTTTTATCCAGGTCGTGAACGCATGCCTCTTCGTCGCCACAATTCAGGATCCATCCGGTCTGTTTGAGCTTTCTCATGGTCTCTGGCAGGTTCTGGAAGATGGGAAGAAGAATCCGACTGAATGAGCGTCAAGCACACATTTTCGATTCACAGGTGGACGATGGAAGGAAAGAAATCGACGCTCAAAAATTAGCGCTTAGCTTTGAGCGGCGCTAATTCGTGGAGCTTGCCTCATCATCAACTACGCGTTGTTCAATGCAGAATTCTTTGCCTTCACCTTCTTCAAACTCACTTGCAGGGTCAGACGGTTTCGTTCGCCCACCTCCACCTTTAAAAATGCACGTTAAACGTGTCACGCTGACCTCAAAGAAGAATTGGTGGATGGGTGCGCAAATAACCTGATATCCTGTGTTTCACGCGTTATAGCTGCTTTTTGTACAGTGGAGATGGATGAAGAAAATGAAAGCGTTCAGTCTACAGACACCCTTGTAGACTCTCTCCATCAGCAATACGATCATACAGAGACCAAAAGGGAGCACACCAGAACTCCTCCGCCCTCCGCTACACCCCATATACCCGCAACAAATTTCAGAATTTCCCGACATCCAAATGCGATATTCTCATTCCCGACCCCAACCTCGTTAGTACTGCCTTGTCTTCACAACGATCGTGTTCTAAGCCATTCATCCAGCTTTTCAACACCATCGGTGAACCCAACTGTGAATCTCGCACCTTGTGCGAACGGCTCCACGTCGGAACTCTTCAAGTGCATTGTCAAAAAGCCTGATGTGGTACAGATGGAACTCAACGGCGAAATGCAGTCAAATGCCTCAGATGTGACTGTACAGTTTCTTGCAGAACTCAGAGTCTATACCACCGTCCAGATGCATCGCAACATATGCACGTTTTTAGGATCGCTAGAGAATGCAGGCATGGTTCTTGAGTACATTGAAGGGCGGACGCTCTTTGATGTCATCTCCGTCCGGCCAGAGCTCGCCACAGCTAAGAAAATCGACTACCACAACCAGCTCTTGGATGGACTCACGCATCTACACTCGTACGGGCTCAGCCACGGAGACTTGTCGCTACTCAACATCCAGGTTACCTATTCGTCCGACACGATAAAGCTGTTGGACTTTGGCCGTTCTGTCTCAGCTGACTCCGCTTATACAAACCCAGATGGCGAGCCAGTAGACCCCTTTACTGCCCTTGCCAAACGAACCTCAATCCTTTCGCCGCTTCCTCCCAGTAAAACCGAACAGATCCATCCCGGCACACGGCCATTCTGCGCGCCCGAGATCCTTCGCGGAGAGTGTCAAGACGCGCGACTAGCGGACGCGTACAGCTTCGGCCTGATTCTCGTATGCTTAGATCGATGCGAGACAGTCGATCTAAAGCCCTGGGACCAGCGAAAAGATTTACTCCCTAAGGATCTGTTCGGGGGATGCACTGTGTTCGAGGCTCGGGCCAGGTCCTACCTGCAGAAGTGGAATATTCGTCGTAAGCTGATGAAGGAAGACATGATATCATCTCCATAAGGGAACTGCGATTGTATCTACCTAGGGCCTCGGACTTGACAGGAATTCTGGGAAACCATGGCGAATACCTCCCTGCTGAATGTGATAGTAAGATGCCTGCAATCAATAAAGCAGACGATCACTCTTAGCTATATCAAGCATTCATTCGTCTAATTTCCAGACTCGTATTTATTTTCTTTGGAAGCTGAACGTACTGGGGAATTGGATGTTTCTTCGCGGACCCGGCGTCCCTGTCTACAGGAACGAGTATCCTTCCTTTCTTCTCGAATCTCCGGGGTGGTGCTGGGCGTTGGACCTTAAGTTTTGTCATCGTTTATGATCTGTGATTGACTCACTACTTACACATGTGAAATTCGGTATAGCTGTTACCGGGCTTCTGGCTCGAGTATTGTCGAAAAGTGAGTATCTCTAGTTCTTTCTTCTTCTTCTTGACCTCGTCGGTGATAATCCAGCCCCTTTCTCACAGCTTGATTCCGATGCTGGAAAGTGTCTAGTCCGAAAGTGGTGGACTCGCGAGCTGCTGGTTACTTCATAACCTTATACATCTCAGTCAATGAGTCCAAGAGAAGCAAGAGCAGTGATTTAATGAATCAATCTGGATCATACTTGTGCACACGCAGACTGTTCCATTTTCCATTAATTTTTTTGAGAGTTTTAGTGGGGATACATAATTAAATGGAACATTTGATCATTTAACGTTTCTGCTTAAATATCTGACGCGCAATATTGGGAGAGCAACACCTTCCCGTCTCATCGTACGTCGCACCACCACTACGCACATCGTTCACTGATCCTCGCAGTCACAAGTCATTATGTCTACTCCATTCAAGCTCGAAGTCACCCCTTTCGTTTTCGACCCACCCCAGCTTCCTCACCTAGAGGAATTTGCATCGTCGTCCTCGTCGTCCTCTTTATCCCACACCTACTATTCCTTGGCATCGTACTCTCCTCGCCTCAAGATGACTGCTAAACGCTACACCTCAGGGCTTTCGGGCGACAACCCACTCGGGCTTACCTTGCTCTTCGCACATGGGGTAGGATCTCGTATGTGCGTTTATCCTGTCATTTTTAGATGTTTACCAATCGCGCAATACCACTTTCCCTAGATAAAGAACAATGGGAGCCCACTATAGAGCGGATTTTCCTCACTCAAAGCGGTAAGAATCGGTATCAGCGGATACGTGAAGCGTGGTCTTTTGATTGGCTGAACCACGGTGATGCGGCACTGGTGAATGAGGCAGCGTTACAAAGTCGGCCTGAGGGAGTGTGTAAGCCTACTCAACAGATATATATCAGTAGATCTATACCAATCTTTTTCCAGCGATCTATGAATGGGCCCCTACAATAGTCGCATTCGTGCGATCCCCTCGTATGGCTGGGCATCGGATTGTCCCAATTGGGCACTCAGGAGGTGCAGGAGCCATGTAAGTTTCCACTCTCTTATTCCCGTTTCCCCGTCTGTCATCGTAACATAATACTTTCCTACCACCGTGTTTCGATGTCAGATAAACTCGCTTAATTCCGTCTACCGTTGCTTAAACTACATTGTCTGGCCAACAGGATGTTAACTACGAAGACTTTCTCCCTTTCTAACTTACCATATGTATCTCTCATCCTCGTCGAGCCGACAATGATAACTCGAGAGTTATTTGAGGCGCATTTCGACGAGCGGATAAGGTCGATGGAGATGTCGGTCGGCGCCACAGAAGTTAGACGGGACGTTTGGGCCGATAGAGAAGAAGCTTTCAAGTGGCTCAGTCGCAGGTTCCCCTTCCGTACTTGGGATCCGCGTGTGGTACGGCTTCTAGTGGTGGGTCTGACTCCTTTCTGCAAAGGTACAGAATGTTCCTCTAACGAGTCAATTACAGGAGCAAGGCCTTTACCAGAAATCCCCGGAGTCAAGCGAGGTTACGCTCAAGTGTAATAAGCAACAGGAAGCAATATCGTATCCCGACGTGCGTATGTGTAAAAGGAGGCAAGGGTGGTCCAAACTGAAATCTTTTCCTTCTCGTTAGGTTGACGGACACTTTGAAGCTACCACGGAGCTCGCAAGGGTATGCCACGCCCTGCCGGTCCATACTATCTGGGGAAGCAGCAACGACCTGTTGTAAGTACTTCTTTCCTCCCCCTCTTTTCCCAAACTTGAAAACATCCTCAATACGCAGCCCGAATTACTTCCAAGAGTCTTTGACTGATGCCACTCAAGGCCGCATAGTCGCCTCGACTTCGAGAGTACATGGTGCAGGTCATATGGTAAGAGCTATTTTTAGGCTGCTATTCGCTTGCCAACGAATTTGGTTTTCCTCTATTGCTGTTAGGTTGTGCAAGAGAAGCCTGATCATCTTGCACTTAAAATTGCAGACGCCCTAGACACCATCAGCCCGTTTCTACATGTCCGGTCAAGTTTGTAATATGTAATCTAGTATGGAACTTGGACTGTACTATGTACTCATAAATATCATGATCTGGAATGGTCTGGAATGCAATGCATATGGTGGTGGCGCTCTGTAGGCTTAGGCGCCCTTCAATCCTAACAGATCGCTTCTCGACTCAGAGTCAGAAAAAACCAAGAATTCTCGCCATACAAAGATCTCAGAATCTCTCTGTTTATCACCCGGCTTCAAATATATCTTTCCATGCAACCAAAATCCGAAGCGATCGGAAAAGGGACGGAACTACGCTCCGGGAGGTAGTACTTACTTCGAGAACTCTGGCGTAACAACTTTATCGAATTCAATGAGAAAACTAACGAGCATTCCTCTTTTCCTCAAAGCAAATTTCATTTCAATATGAGACGTGGGTAGTCTGCTAAAGTTGTCTTGGGACGAGTTATGGACCGAACGACGTGCTCAGCAATAAGCGCTCGTTACAGACGTCCGACCAGAGAGGCATTCGAATCTTGTTAAGACTCTTGACTCTTGGGGGACTACACTGGCAGGCTTTGACTCAATTTGACCGTCACCGACGGGTGGCGGTTGTTTTATATCGCCGAAACGGTTGTACTCCGGAACTCTTG